AAAACTCCAAACATATATATATATATATATATATATATATATATATATATATATATATATATATATATATACTGTATGACTGTATATATACTGTATGATATATATGTGTGTGTGTGTGTGTGTGTGTGTGTGTATTGCATTCAGTCACAACTGTGATCTAAAACATGTTAGGGAATATTTAGCAGTCCCTTAAATTTGGTAGGGACATGTTCTAACAATCCATAAAACAGACCTTAACGTAAAAAAAAACAACGAAATTTTCTATAGAATATATGATAGGAATGATGATGAGGAGGAGGGCTGATCCAAGTAATTGTGCAACTAGCCTAAAATATAGATACTCACATAGCATTGGCCATGACCAGCAGGTCCACGTTGTCAAAAAGGCTGACCTCAGGCACCTCCATGATGAGAACGTACAGGATCTCAATGAAGAGCATGAGGAAGAGTTTACCAATACTGCTGATCTGTAGGAACACTGAGCAGGCCAGTAAACTGAGCAGCACACATGAAGAGAAATACTGTCGAAAGAGAAAAACATTCAGGCATTAGTCTTTCTCTTTCCCCTTAACTTATTCTATATATGATTTATCAAAAGACAAGCATTTCAGAGCAGTGCCTAAAATTACAACTATGAAAAATAAATGTAAAGGCCTTTCACTGCTGGAAAATATCGATTTAAGTTGTCAGGCATGGAACATGGTACTATTAGCTAGTTTCAAGCTGGTCCAAATGAGTTAGTAGCTAGTCCAAGCTGCTCACTGACTATATAAAGGAATAGTTCACTCAAAAATGAACAATTGCTGAAAATGTACTCACCCTAAGGCCATCCAAGATGATGAGTTTATAACCTTGTGAAGCGAAAAGCTGCATTTTTCTAATAAACAAATCCGGCATTAAGACGTTTGAACTTAATTCAATAACGTATCCTCCAGTAAAAAAAAGAACATCCCCTGTTGTGCTCTCACATCAAAATCAACCAACATATTAGTTTAGAACTGTTTTGGACTGTTTTTGCTAGTTAACAACGCTTGATCTGTGGATATTTCTCTCCTGATTCAGACGATTCATTACTTTTTTCACCGGAGAAGGGTAATATTATGGATAGAGGACTCGTATTCCAACTAGAAGCAATGGTTCAAAGTTAAACCAACTTAACTGATGGACTGAAGTCGTTTTGAATTACTTGTGTACTATGAGGTTTTTATCAGCTGTTTGGACTCTCATTCTGACGGCACCCATTCACTGCAGAGGATCCTTTGGTGAGTAAGTGAGGTAATGCTAAATTTCAAAACTCAAACTCATCTGCATCTTGGATGGCCTGAAGTTGAGCACATTTTTGGGTCAACTATTCCTTAAACTATTCACTATGTTACAAAACTAAACTGATCTGAGAACAGTGCCACACCTCTGGGAAATTGCAGGTGGGTGACAAGCTGTTGCAGAGACTGCCCTGAGACCAGAGAGAGTAGTTGAAGGAAGAGCTGCGGACATGGCAAGCATTTACAACGCTGGGGCTGATGTTTAACTCCTGCCCTAAACATGTCTTCAGGTCATCCGTACTGCAGGTAAACTACAGGACAGAAACATTTTCTCAGATAAAAGTACATGACAGTATTTCATTTAATCACTACAGATCACATTAACAAACTGTGAAGCACTTCAATGTTAAAAGTCAATTACTTAAAACTATATGATTTCAGCGCCACTAGCAACACTATACATGATTGCAAAACAATTTCTATTTTTTAAAATAGATTTCAATTTTTTTGCAATTCTCTCTTTACACCTGAAAGTCTTTAAATATTTTCAGATGTAATGTATGAAATAACTAAATATCAGAGGCATTAAGGCACACAATCCTGAGGTTAAGACTTGTGAGACTCACAATGTTAATGAAAGCGGAGAGAAAGACCAGGACGGTTGTAAAAACCCCCACCAGGGTGCTGTTGAGTCTGGACTGAACAATCCTTTTTGAGAGAGTTTGCAGAGGCACAGGGAAAAACTGTCAATAGAGAGAAACATGAATTGAACTTCACAATATTACTAAACATAACTCGACAGTATCTGAGAACAATTTAATGTTGTCACATGATGAAAATCTTTTTTTTAATGATTTTTTTATTTTCAAATAAAAGTGTAAAATGAAAAGTATAAAAGTAAATCTAAAATGATTTTTTTTTAACCTTCTACTCAAAAGAATCCTGAAAAACAATGTATCACCGTTCCCACAAAAATATTTTGAAATGTTATCAACATTGATGATAATACAAAATTATACTTGAGCACCAAATCTGCATATTAGAACAATTTCAGAAGGATCACTTGACACTGAAGACTGGAGTAATAATGCTGAAAATTCAGGTTTGCCATCACAAGAATAAATTACACTTTGAAAACATATTCAAATAGAAAACAGTTATTTTAATAATATTTTACAATATTATTGTTTTTACTGTAATTTGTATTAAATAAATGCAAAGTAAATACAGTGTGTGTGTATATATATATATATATATATATATATATATATATATAT